TAACACCTGCATCTACAGGTAACACCTGCATCTACCTCTAACACCTGCATCTACTGCTAACACCTGCATCTACGGCCAACACCTGCACCTACCTCTAACACCTGCACCTACCTCTAACACCTGCATCTACTGCTAACACCTGCATCTACGGCCAACACCTGCACCTACCTCTAACACCTGCATCTACTGCTAACACCTGCATCTACAGGTAACACCTGCATCTACAGCCAACACCTGCATCTACAGGTAACACCTCGGATGGGGAAGCAGCCAGCGGTTGGGTCAGTCAGAGAGACCCACCGTCCCACCTCCAGGGATCCTGCCGCTGGTCCCCAGACCACTGACCACGTGGAGCCAGACCCTGAGACTGGACTTCATCTCCTTTTTCTAGGGGACGGTTCGCCCCGCGGCCACACTGGCCTCTTCCCTTTCCAGGTCAGGGAGGCCCGGGGCCGGGAGGAGGCAGGGGGGTGGGGACGGCCACTTACCTTGCCCGTGGACCGGACGCCCTTCCAGATGCAGAAGAAGCACACCAGCCACACCAACAGGAGGCAGAGCGCCAGGTCCCACTTGAGGGCGCCCGGCTCGTCGATCCCCGAGGACAGGCTCAGCACGTTGCGCCTGGGAGCCAACAGGGCGGGAGTCAGCGGGGACCCGGGGTCTGGGGGCACAGTTGTGGGGACGTCCGGAAGGGGCCAGAAGAAGGGTCAAGGGCCCTGGGGTCCACAATCCTTCGGCAAACCCAGGTTCAACCCGGCCTGGCTTGGGGCAGGTCAGGAAACCCCTGAGCCTCAGTTTCCTCATCTGACAAATGGGTACTGACTTTTCGACAGGACCTCGGCTGACACACTCAGCTTCACCTGGCCGCCTGTGGTCCTGGCAGCTCGGGAGGCTGAGGCAGGAGGATCACAAGGTGGAGGCCAGCCTCAGCCACTTAGCGAGGCCCTCAGCAACTCAGGGAGACCCTGTCTCTAAATAAAATAGAAAAAGGGCTGGGGACAAGGCTCCGTGGTGACCATCCGGGATTCAATCCCTGGTACCAAAAGTAAAATAAAATAAAATCTTAGCTTCATTGTTCATGGGGACCGGTGACCCGGCCTCCCCAGACCAGCCTCCGGCCTCTAATGTGGGGCAGACACTCTCCCCATGTCCTTTGGTCCCTCCCTATTTTATCGGCCCCACCCCCTTGTCATCTGGATCTCTGTAAAATGTGCGGCCCAGTCTCAGGCAGCCTCCACTCCCCGGTGGTCCTCCCTGGAGGTCCGCGAGGCCCGAGCTGAAGGCCGCGCTGTGCCGTGTCCGCTGGTGCGTGAGGACCCACGCGCAGCTCCGCGCCCTGCGGGGGCCAGATACCATCAGGAACCGGGGGCCAGGCCCTGACCCTCGGCCAAGTCCAGGAAACACGATGCGCCCACAGGACACTCATTGTCCCCAAGCGCGCAGTGCCCGGTCAGTGATCAAGAGGAGTCCCCCAGCCTCCACCCCCCGTGTGCCCAGGTAATCTGCCTCCTGATCTCCACGGTCCCCACGCTCCGGGGCGAGGGCCAGGCCCGGAAGAGGCTGCTTCTCCTTTCCAAAGCACCAGCTTCTGCCCGAAGGCTCTGTGCCCCAGGAGTAGAGTGACTTTGTCCCTTGTTTGACCTTTTATAAAATAGAAATCAAGGGCTCCAGTCCTGCAGGGCGCGCAGGGCACAGGGGTGCACGCCTGTAATCCCAGCCGTTCTGGAGGCTGAGGGCGGAGGATCCCAAGGGGGAGGCCAGCCTCCGCAATTTAAAGAAATTCTGTCTCAAAATAGTACTGGAAAGGCTGGGGGGTGTAGCTCAGTGGCAGTGCACCCTGGGTGTGATCACCCCGAAAAAAACCAAAATAATAATAAAGTTGCCAGATGGCCCGTGTCTTATCAAGACCCTTTTTGTTAAAAAAAAAAATATATATATATATATATATATATATATATATATATATATTATTTAAATCTTATTTGATCCAGCCCCACTTTACATATGGGGAAAACTGAGGCCTGACAAATCCATTTATACACATTCACAAAGCCTTCAGGCAGCTGGAAGAGCGGTCACTCAACCCCAGATCTGTCCAGCGACAAAGTCAGGTCCCTGTCCCTAGCGCAGCCTCCCCCCCCTGCCCCGCCCCTGCCAGGGGCCGATGGTCTCTGGGTTCAATCCCAGTCCCCCCCAAAAAAAAAAATTTAAAAAAATTTGATGCAAATCACTGGTGTCCCCTAAGCACCTTCTGACTGCCCCAGACACCCACACTGCCACCAATCCTGTCCCCGATTGCACCACAGGACTTTTGAACAGCCTCCTCACTGGACTCCCCGCCTCCACTCTGGCCTCTACAGTCAGAGGGAATCCAGCAGGACCCAGGCTGCCTCATGGCCTCTGCCCCTCAGCCTCCCATGGCTACCTCCCCGTCCCCTAAATCTTCAGACCTAAAGGGGTTCTTTTTCCCCAGGGGGTGGGTACCAGGGATGGAACCCAGGGGCATCCACCACGGAGCCCCATCCCCGGCCCTTTTTATATTTTATTTAGAGACCAGGCCTTGCTAAGTGGCCGAGGCTAGCCTCCAACTTGTTATCCTCCTGCCTCAGCCTCCAGAGCGTGTGAAATTCCGGGCACGTGCCACCTTGCTTGGCACACCTAAAGGTTTTAAAGAGCCTGGGGACCACGACCTACTGCGTCTGCCTGGACCATGTGTGTTCCCAGGAAGCACCTGTCGATCATTCAACAGCACCTTGCACAAAGCAGGTGCTCAATTAATGCCACGAGTACACGGATCACGCCCATTTCCTTGGCGGGAAAACGGAGGCTCAGCCATTCACCTAAAATCCCCCAGACAGACGTCAACCCTGGACACCTGGGTCCTGTTTCCTGGTGTCCCCACTCCTGGGGTCCAGCCACCCTGCAGCCCGGGACCTACGGCGGCCATCAGCCGGGCCTCTCAGCCTCCCCTGTGTCTCTGGCCTCGAGGGAGGAGACCCAGGAGTCCGCGACATGATCATCCAAGAATAGCGGTGACTCATTGCAGGGTGGGATCCAAGAACTGGAATAATGACCGGCTCCGGGCCGCCGTCCAGAGAGGTCAATACGTCCCCGAGTGGGGACCAATGGCTTCCTCTTGGCCGCGGGCCAGCTGTCTCTTGGCCACAGCTGCCCCCTGGGGACCGGCACGGGACAACAATTATAAAAGGACCCGTCCGCCCGGCGCTCGACGCCGCACAAGCCTCCCCCGGCCTCTCCCCCGGCCTCCGCCTCCTTCCAGCAGCTGCCGAGGAAGATTGGGGACTGTTTGGAAACGTGACTCATGTGGCTTTGATTCTAATAACGACTAATGAGACGCGCCGGCTCCCGGGAGGCCCCCGGGGGAGGCTAGGAGGAAGGCCGGGCTCCGCCTGCTGAAGGGCATGGGGCCAGGCCGGGCCTCCGTCTGTCCTCCAGAACCTGAGCCCGCGAGGGAGACCTCGGGACAAAGGGGACTTCAGATGGCAAGGCTCAGAGAGAGGTGGGCTGGCTTTGGCCAGTTATAAAGCCAATCCCAGGGGCCCTGGTGGTTCTTCTGGGAATAGAGAGAAGGGGGACATCTCCTGGCCTGAGTGGCCCCTGCCTGGAATTCCAGCCACGGGGGAGGCCAAGGCAGGAGGATCGCGAGTTGGAGGCCGAGACTCGGCAACTTGGTGAGACCCTGGCTCCACGTCAAACACAGAAAGGGCTGGGGCTGGGGCTCGGGGGTGAAGGGCCCCTGGGTTCCGTCTCCAGGACACCACGGAGTCTGGGGTACGTGACGTCCAATGGCACTTTGCATTTTTCTAGCGGGTTCTGAGGGCTGGGAACCAGTCAGGGCCACCCTACAGCCTTGGGGTGGCAGAGGAGGACATCAGGGACCTGAGAGGGGGCTGTGACTGACCAAGCTAGAGATGGCAGAGCAAAGGCTAGACCCCAGGGGCACAGGCTAGACCCCAGGAGGACGGGCTAGACCACAGGTGTGCAGGCTAGACCCCAGGTGCACAGGCTAGACCCCAGGNGCACAGGCTAGACCCCAGGAGGACGGGCTAGACCACAGGTGTGCAGGCTAGACCCCAGGTGCACAGGCTAGACCCCAGGGGGACGGGCTAGACCATAGGTGCATAGTCTAGACCCCAGGTGCACGGGCTAGACCCCAGGGGGATGGGCTAGACCCCAGGAGGACGGGCTAGACCCCAGGTGCACGGGCTAGACCCCAGGGGGATGGGCTAGACCCCAGGTGCACGGGCTAGACCCCAGGTGCATGGGCTAGACCCCAGGTGTGCGGGCTAGACCCCAGGTGCACGGGCTAGACCCCAGGTGCGCAGGCTAGACCCCAGGTGTGCAGGCTAGACCCCAGGTGTGCAGGCTAGACTCCAGGTACGCAGGCTAGACCCCAGTTGCACAGGCTAGACCCCAGAGGGACAGGCTAGACCCCAGGTGCACAGACTAGACCCCAGGTGCATGGGCTAGACCCCAGGTGCACGGGCTAGACCCCAGGTGCACAGGCCAGACCCCAGGGGGACAGGCTAGACCCCAGGTGCATAGTCTAGACCCCAGGTGCACGGGCTAGACTCCAGGTGAATGGGCTAGACCCCAGGTGCACGGGCTAGACCCCAGGTGCGTGGGCTAGACCCCAGGTGCGCGGGCTAGACCCCAGGTGCGTGGGCTACACTCCAGGTGCATGGGCTAGACCCCAGGTGCACTGGCTAGACCCCAGGTGCATAGGCTAGACCCCTGGTGCATGGGCTAGACCTCAGGGGCACAGGCTAGACCCCAGGTGCACGGGCTAGACCCCAGGTGCACAGGCTAGACCCCCGGTCGTGATGGCAACGAGGCCCAGTAGGCTGGCAGAGATGCTGGTGCCCCAGGCAGGGCAGGCCTGTGTGGTCAGGCCGTGCCAAGAACAGCACAGAAAGGTCAAGGCGGTGGCCTTGGGCCCATTCAAGTGACAGAATGAGATGCCAACGTTTCTTTGTCTAGAAGCTCGCTCCCCAACGGGTGGGAGCTGAGGGGGCGATGCGTGTGCTCTTAATGTCCTCTGTGTTTGCAGGGGACCATGTGTATGCATGAGGAGTCCCTCTGAGAAGCCTGGGGACCTGCATTCTTCTCTGTGCAAACAACAGAGAACATCTGTATTTTCCCTAACAGCTCCCTGCGGTGATGGACGACGCTGTGGCTCACTGTGAAAGTACCCGAGTTCTCCACCCTCGCGGACAGGCGGGTTTTATTCCCCCGTACTTCTGTGTCTGGGGTCGTCCTTTGGCTTCCCCTGGTCACGGGACATGAACACAAACGACGCCCGAAAGGAGACTGAAAAAGAGCTTGCGCATGGAGGGTCGCCCGTCTGTTGTCCCCGGAGCTACCCGTGACAGAGCCCCTAGCCAGCCAATGCCCAAGCGCTACCCCGAGGACCCACAACGGTCTGCAGACACAGGAAGCAGCCCAAGATTCGGAGGGCCTGGCGCAAACTGCCGACAAACAGAATCATGGTAAATGGTGACTGTGAATTCACCAAATGTGGGGATGGTTGTTACGCAGCGAGAGCTAACTGCTAACTGATACACAATTTTCCCCACTCGATCTACGCGCCTTTCACTGGAGTAACTACCTCAGCCTCGTATAGGCTTTTTTTTCCTCTGTTCAAGGACAGAGAATGTATTTTTTTTTCTAGAATGTACTAAGAAATCGTGAAGAAACTGAGGCTCAGAGAGGAGAAAGGGGACTTGCCCAGATCAACGGGCCAGGAAGTGGCAGAACCGAGATTCGATTTCAGCCCTGGGCAAATAGGGACCCTCCCCCGGTCCCATCCCTGACCCTCGAAGACCGCGACTCCCCAGGGAGGACAGGGGTGGCCCGCCCCCTGCGCCCCCTGCGCCCGCCCGCGGCCAGGCTTACTCCCAGAACTCGATGACGGGGGACGTGTAGTTGTGGGCGCTGAAGGTGAGCCACGGGCTCTGGTTCCTGCGCAGCGTGTCCTCCAGGCAGTGGGCCGTGTTCCAGCTGTGGTTGCAGTGGGCCCAGGGCAGGTCCTTCTGGAAGGAGTGGAACAGGTAGTAGGTGGCCCAGGCCAGGATGACGATGTAGTAGACGTTGAGCAGGGACACGATGACGATGGACGCGTAGCCGATACCTGGGGGGGGAGGGGCGCCATGAGCATGGGCAGGGGGCCACCAGGACCGTCCACTCCACAGGACAGGGCCAGGGCGCTCTGCAGCAGAGACCAGCACCGGAGGAAGATGGACGGATGGATGGACGGATGGATGGACAGATGGATGGACGGATGGATGGACGGATGATTGGATGGATGGGTGGGTGGACGATTGGATGGATGGACGGACAGACGATTGGATGGATGGATGGGTGGGTGGACAGAAGGACAGACGGACAGATGGATGATTGGATGGATGGGTGGACAGATGGACAGATGGATGGACGGATGGATGGACGGATGGATGGACGGATGGACAGACGGATGGACAGACGGATGGACGGGTGGATGGATGGATGGGTGGGTGGACAGAAGGACAGACGGACAGATGGATGGATGGACGGATGGATGATTGGATGGACAGATGGGTGGACGATTGGATGGATGGATAGGTGGACAGATGGACGGACGGATGGACAGATGGACGGACGGATGGACGGATGGATGGACGGATGGACGGACGGATGGATGGACGGATGGATGGACGATTGGATGGATGGATGGACGGATGGATGGACGGATGATTGGATGGATGGACGGACAGA